CGAGCGGACCATCTGAAGGCGTTCGAACGCGTCTGAACGTAGAGTACAGTATGCAACAAGCAATCGATTTGCCAGACATACACCGACTCGCAGACTGCTTGTCCGAAGCGAACCGGAGGGAATTACCCAGGACTCGCGACGTCGTCTGCGTCATTGTTCAGGACCAGGATATACTACAGATGGAACCGAATCCGAGTGAATACTGTATACATTGTACCACAACATCTAAGCTAACTATTGTACATGACTGGCAGCGGGCATTGACGGATACGGACCTCCGTTCCATACGGGCCTCCATTCTGGCTGTGATGCACGATGTTGCACCGATGCCGGTAAGAACCGACGGCATGGCGCGAGCAGACCTTGGCTTCCTTGCGTCATGACGAGTGGATATACTCTGGCAAGTACTAGTCCCCAGCACCGCGTAGAGGTGGCTGCCCATAGCTGGGGTGTCTCAGAACGGGGTCCTAAGAACAGAAAGAACCTTTTCATCTGGGAACGGTCCAGGGCACAGGTGATACGACATGGGGCCCATGGCCATGAAGGGGATATCTCCGGAGAGATTAATACTAAACAGGCCCACCATTCCTGTCAGGGGCTATCTCCGGGGAGATTGATACTAAACAGGCCCACCATTCCTGTCAGGGGATATCTCCGGAGAGATCGTACGACACAGGCCCGCCATTCCTGTGAAGGTGCACACTGTTGCGCTGGCGCGTTCCAGTGAGTGAGGACAAGAAGCCTGGTCCTGGAGTGAACAGGACTGGGAGAGGCCGGCCTTATATCTCCAAGCGCTCCGGTCGCCCGGCAAGACCAACGGTGCAGCACTAGCATCCAGCCTCGCCAGATTCAAGTCAACGACCATCATGTGGTGCAGAGGAACTTCAGGAGTCGTTAAAGTGCTGGGTACGGTATCCGGTCATCTCTGTGTGTGCTCCCTCCTACCCAATGTCCAGGGGCACATGGTGACCTTGAAACGAAGAGCAAAACCCGAAGCCATCTCCCCAAATGACCATGCAGGCCTTCAGTCCAAGACGCCATCTGGTTGAAAGAGGATAGGCGTGGGCATGGGCAGGGCGAAGATGTGTGCGACTCATGGTTGGTCAATAGGCGTCTCAGGTACACAACGATACTTGGAAAACGGTTCCAGATCTGACCAGTGGGCTCAGTGGCGACCACCTGGAAACAGTTGGGCAACCGTGGTCCGACAGAGCACAGTGGCTACCGATTCCTTCTTTCGTCGTATTACTGTACTTTCCAGTTTCTAGAGCACCGGTGCTCAGTACCCGACCGCTGTCGACTTGGTTAATCCACTACCATTACCCTCGGGGCGGGAGAAAGTAATCCCCCGCCCCACACCAACTCGATAGAGATCAGCACTTCCAGGTCGTTAGCCTAGACCATCGTTATCGTGGTAGATTGATTGAAGGATCGTAGGCAAATTGTTCAAATCGCTCCTCTACCAAGGTATATTTTGAGAATTCACGTTCGTCTACATAACGCAACCAATTCCTGTAGTAGCCCCGTACTCGTCAATCCCTGATTTTCATTAAAGCCTCTGTAATAACTCTACAGTCTTTGCTGCCAAACACGCTTGACTGAATCCTCCGGTCCATAAGAATACAGTCAACATACACTGCCCTTGCATGCGTAGGAGAGAATGCAGTATTCATGTGCACCGTAGCAAGCTCCAAGCAGTCACACGCGCTCCTAAACAATAGGGACCCTGGAAGATCGATCATATCGGATATGACCAACAGAAGTCAGACTGTTCATGGGATAAGTAGATATCGAAATAGATGATGGCCTGGCAGCACGGCAATTATGCGTATGACAGGAGCGCATAAGGACCAGTCCCTGTTATGTGTCACCAAGGAAGGATCTGCAGGTACGGGAAAGGGTACGTTCCGACCGCTACAGGCTGGGAAACTCGATGCTGGCATTTTTACGCGAATGTACCACACTGATGAAGCGGGTAAAGAAAGTAAGCAGCAGGCAGGCCCTTGATGCGAGTCTCGCTACAGACTCATCGAAACTGGGTTGTTTCATTTCATTTTATCTTATCTAATTTTCATTTTTATTTTTACCTTCTATTTTAGCTCTACATATTCTGTTGGAGCACCTACTCCCTAGTAGGCAAGGCCGCTTACCTATCACCACGTGACAACCGTGCTTTATTTACTCCCTTACTCGCTCCCAGCTACGTATCCTATATAGGCATGATTTCAACGAACACTCTAGCCTCCAGTCTCCCTAGTAGCTAGCGTTTCTACGTTCCGGTATATTTATTTTTCTATTTTCAGAAAGTGGGTCTCCCTGAAGCACTGCCAAAGGCTTTTGGACAGCAGAAAGAAGGTCAAGGGAGAGATGACCGGTTTATTGCGCTGAGAGAGATGTACAGTGCTCATGATGGGGTCCAAATTGGTCTAAGAAGTATTGTTACCCGGAATAGTCATATTGTCCAAGGACATGGTAAATCAATGCAGCCAAAGCCAAATTACAGGACAAATCAGATCCTTCTAGTTCCACGATTCCACTGCATGTCACTTTCGAAAAGGGCCACGCATGTCCAAAGTGCCAACTTCCGCGCCACTCAAGAATATATGGCATAGATCGAGACTGGTCATTCTAGTGCAATATACACTTCCGACCTAAAGCAACACCTGGGTCGATCTAAAATAAACATCACGACTGGAGAGCCTCAGCATCCGTCGCATAAGCATTCGAACAAGTCTTTCGTGAATGGAGAAGGCTCAGGCCCGTAGACGTATGCCTCGGTGGCTGGGACGGTTGAACATATTCCTGACAGTTTCAATTTCGTGAACCCGCAGCTTAGGGACACATGTCCAACACCGACCTCCAGAAAATGGTGCAGCTTGGCTAGCACTTCGATACCATGTACAAAACCTGGGGCCTTTCCAAATTCATTGCCACATTTGTGTGCACCACGTTGTTGGGCTTCAGGAAAGACTTCAAGAAAGTCAAGTCTGTCAATATGATGTCGACCGTAGCTCATTTTCTTTTGTATTCTCTCTCTGTACGCGCTCTAGTGGACAAAAGCAACCAAGATCAAGAGGTTGAACAGACTCCAAATGTTATTAAGGTGGGTCAGTTTCAGCAAGAGGACTACCATTCGGAACATCCTTGTAACGTCCGGTCTTTGCACCATCAATCTAGCCTCCCCACTGACTCCACCAAACAGATCGTCATGGGCCCATCAAAGCGTCCGCTCGGCGAATTCATAACTTTAGAGAAAGCATCGTATGCATCTTCCAAATGCATGCATGTCAGATCAACGACCACTCCACTTATAAAAGGCGTTGTCCAAACCATCCTATCACTACTTCATCATCGCAGATTGAGTCTCCAGCAATCATTCTTCATTACTTTAGATAATTTTGCGAAAATGTATGCCAATTTCCAAGCGTTTACCACCTCCTGGGCATACATTTGCCCTGGGTGTCAGCAGCCGTTTTTACCTCGATTCCCCGGAGACCAGCTGGTTGCTTGTCCCAGATGCCAAAAAATATTCAACCCTGTGCATCCAGCGCAGCCCTTACCCGTGCAATTCCAGCCGCAGGGGGGCTACCCTTTCCAGCTCCAACAACGAGCTTTAGGGCCGCAGCGGCCTTGGATATCGCAGCAAGCCTTGGCACCACAGCGAGCTATCGCTGTTCAAAATGCAATCGCCCATCAGCAGCTTTCCCCGACGGCTAGAAGACATCAGGAAGCACTATTCCAAGCGGAAATGCGACAAATAGTTGGCCCTACGTTCCAGCAGCAACAAGCTCTACTGCAACGCGTTAATAGTCGACCCCAGGTTGAGGCCCACATGTCGTCGGGTGGAACGCCGGGTGCGGACTCCGACCACTCTGGGCAGAGCCAAGCGGAATCCCAACAGCGAAACCCAGCTGTCCAGTCAGCGCAGCATGATAGGGTGTCTGACGTGGCGCAAACAGACCATGTGGTACATGTGCCGCGGGCGAGTCAGGCTCACCATGAAGGAGAACAGAATCAAGTCAGTCAGCGAGGGCCGCATCATAGGGTGTCGGACTCGTCACAATCCAACCACATTCGAGCGTCCCGTCAGAATCACTACCAGGGAGACCCGAACCAAGCAATTCAGCCAACACCGAGCAATGGTGGATCGCAATCGACGCAAACAAATGACGTTTCGGAAAGGGTACAGCACCAGGATGAGCAGCGTCCAGCCATAAAGCAGGATGAAGAAAGCCAGAACGAGGAACAACAACAGCGAGCACCCCAGCAAACTCGAGCCCAGAATAACCAGCGGACAATCACCGATCAGTGTTTGAGGCAAAGAGGGATTACCTGGAGTACCTCTGGGATTGTGCCTCCGCGATCAGAACGTGAGCGCCGGCGAATGGTCTATCTTCTAATGTTTCTGCCGTCGATAATGGAATCATTGCAACAGACCCGGTCCGCCTCACAGTCAAGGGTGTTCAAGCAGGAATAATGGATCAAAGGGTCCCGTGTGCGATTGGTATGGGTTACCATGGGGCTCTTTTCACCACCTCTCTATCCAGTTTTTGATGCTGGCGACCTATATAGGTATATGGGGAATTTTCGCGTACGGCCCTAATGGCGCAGGCTAGTGAGAAGACGAGACTTTACTAACGGCAGAAATTGAGCAAGTAACACTGAGTTTCGTGGTGTTTCCAAAAGACCTGTGTGCAGCTGGCTAGGACTCATGGGAAGTAGGGACTGGCTTTACATAGCAGATGGACTGATGAGACGTGTTGTATGCCTCTGAGGCTCGTCCGGAGTATAGTGAGAGAGCGTAGATGAGAAGGGTGATTCCTTTATCTGCCTATCAATCCATGATACTATATGTATGATGAAGCAACTAAGACAGATTCTCTGAACACACTGACACCTATACGGAGAGACATCACATAGTGTACACTTATCGATCGAGCGCATTGTCCTGCGACTGGAAATCAATCAGTAAGCACAATGACATAGAGAATCAAGCCAATACTCACCGTCTGCCAACACATCTCGTTATCCCGTAGCAATTCCTGATGACTTTCCTGCTCCACTACCTGAACCCATACCTGCACGGGCTTACACCAAAGGCAAATACCATGTCAAACTTCGAGGTAGTTGACAGTTTATGCGTAACTGCTACAGTTGTCATAAATCCTTTCACTACCAAGCACCTGGGTACCGCCTGTACCATCCTTTAGGACTAGAGTGAAGATTCGATATCACTTCATCAAGTAGAATGGTCCGCGTAGTAATGCCTATATAATACATGGGCGTTATCAGTCTTCCACTCAGAAATGTTTGAGCCTCGATACCCAGTACGTGGAATATCCCGCCGGGAGGGAGGTGATGGGATCGTGAATCTCTGCGTCCTCGCACGCTTGAATCAGATTGATCTCGGTGAATTCAGAATTGCCGAGGCCGAGGGCTACAGATAATCCAGAAACCACCTTTACCACCTATACTTTTTTATTCCAGAAACCAAGACCTTGCTCTTGCCATTGGCGAAAACCACCCTGGGTCTGGACGGTACCGTCCGACAACGTGATTGATGGGAAGGCCAAGTCGACCACGGCGATTCGAATGCGCTAGAGCAACAATTTGAAGCAGTATTCAAAATCGCGAAACATTTTGATGCCATGCTTCGCTTGGATGAGACTGCTACGTTCATGGAGCAGCGTACATCTTACCACGATACTCAGAATCGCCATGTGACCATCTTCCTCCGAAAGCTGGAATATTAGGAGACTTTTTATTGACGTCGAATCGGGTTATCTGGTTTGAAAATGCAATTCTCGCCCGGACCCATTTGACCATTGACTATGAGAATTCAACGAGTCAGTTCGCAGAGATCTGTGGTCAACGATTTTGTCCAGGGCATGTACGACGCAAGGACCTGTTGTGGTGAGGAACGTCCTTCGACAATTGTAGTCTTTAGTTCTAAATGGACGCGGGGTGGGTACCAGAGCGCTGCTGTTCACCCCTCACTTGCTAACTTGAGCCAGATCAAAAACATCGTGGCAATGGCACATGCTCTTGCTGAGGCGGATGCCAACCAAGTAATCTCCAAGCACTTGAGCTAGCTGTGAAATCGAATGAAGATTTTCGAAGGAGTCCGGTCAACGGGGGATGGTTGATGGGATGTATCTCTAGCTGCAAAGCCTGGGAAGGTCGTGTAGATAATTCCGCCGCCCAAGCCCGCTGTGCAGTCGCGCTCTTGCAACATGTAGGGTTCGTGTTGCAAAATGTGTATTTAGTACTCGGTGTAAGTTAAAGCCACGACGTCTTGTGGCGGAATGCTTTGCAACGGTTCCGAACACACTGTTACAAACTTAAGGTACTGCCGTGTTGCGGAATGTCCACCCCTCCCAAGCCGGGTTTATATTTCATCGCTCTGACGCAGCGAGTTTACCGCGTATTCGCAGAGACGGATTCAAGGGCCCTGGGGCGCTTCAACCATTTCACATCCTCCAGGTCAATGACAACCAAGCGGCCACTCAGGTCATCCCACAGCATATTACGCCACTCACTGTCGCAGTGGATAAC